TTATTTCTATCATCATTGTTATTATTATCTTCATCATCATCATCATTATCATCTTCATCATCATCATTATCATCATCATCATCATCATCATCATCATCATCATCATCATCATCATCGTCATCATCATCATCATCATCATCATCATCATCATCATCATTATCATTGCTATCATCATTATTATTATCATTATTATTATCATTATTATCATTATTATTATTATTATTATTATTATCATTACTATTATTATTATTATTATCATTATTGTTTTCATTATTATTATCATTATTATTATTATTATTATTTTCATCATCATCATCATCATTTATCATTATCCTCATGATCATTACTATCATTATGATTACAGTGATTGCTATGATTGTTATCATATTGATATTATTATTGTTACTATTATTATTACTTTATTATTATTATAAATTTTGTTGTCATTATTATTATGATTATTATTATTATTATGATTACATTATTATTATCATATGTTTTTTTTTATTGTTTGTTATTATTATTTTTTTGTTATTGTTATATTTATTATTATTATTATTATTATTATTATTATTATTATTATTATTATTACTAATATTATTAATTTTATTGTTTTTGCTAATGTTATTAACATTACTATTGTTATTATTGTTGTGTTATTGTTATCTATATCACTGTCAGCATTAGTATCGTTGATATCATATTCAAGAAGGTAGTTATTAATGTACTATTGTTGTCTTTTTCATCCTTCCTTTTTTCTTCATTTATGCTCAGTCTCCCTTTGTATTTTTCTTCCTCTTCCCAATGTTATAACTTATTTTGATAATTGTTGCGCTCACAATCATCCTCATCTTCATCACTGTCTCTCCGCCGCCTCGCCGCCGCCCCGCCGCCGCCGCCAGGCCGCGCGGGCCCCAGTGGCGCCTTCCTCGGCCGCCGCCCCTCGCGCCGGCGAGTCTGCCCACCTCACCTTCTCTCTCCCCTGCAGGCGTGGGCGTCGGGGGGGCGGTACAGCCTCGGGCGGTGAAGGCGGAGGAGGAGACACGCCCACGAGCAGCGAGGCGTCGGCAGGAGGGACAGGCGGGGGCGCGGACGAGGGCGTGGCGCCCACGGGGTCCGCCTACAACACCCCGACGGCGTCGCTGGCCGCGCTCTCCTCGCCGACCTCCGACGTGACTCCTTCGCCGGAGGTAAGTTGGCCCGACCTCGCTCGCCCTTGCCGTCCCGACTCAGCCCACTTGTGCCCTCTTGATCACGTTGCAAGTCTAAGCGATTGGATGGAATATACAGATTTTGACATGCAGTTTTTGAAGGGTAGATTTCATTAGATTCAAAGATTTTCAGTGTGCCTATTTGTCCCCTTACTGAAAAAATGCATATTGAATTGTTAGAGCCCTGCAGTTATTTACTTACTTATCTAAGGTAATATGATTTACTCATCAACAATTAATATATATATAATTGTTCCCCTCCCCCTCATATAGACAGCAAATTCATTGGAATAAAACATCAAATGCACATTCGAGCAAGTCTGTTTGTTGATCCCTCGTCAACCTACATGACTCCCTGGAGCACAGCCACTCACTCAAACCCGCGCGCACACACGCACATGGACACTCACAGGGACACACGTAAACAATGACACGCACTCAACAGAACGGCCACATCAGCAAAGGCCTGTACACATAAGCACATGCATGTATACAGTCTCTGGAACTAACAAACAAATATCTACGCGCACACCACACACACACACACACACACACACACACACACACACACACACACACACACACACACACACACACACACACACACACACACACATACACACATACACATACACACACCCTCCCTCTCTCCCTTCCGCATCACACACACGTATATATAAAGGCACACGAACACATGTAAATAACCTCCACTCCCACCTCCCCAGACAAACACACACACACAAACGCAAACACACACACACAAACACACACAAGCACGCACACGCTCGTTTCGCAAGTCTGAAGTGTCTTTCACCGCTGTAATCACCGACAGGTCTGGAAGGACCAAGAATCTAGTCCAAGTCTCTGTCTTGCTTGCTAATGGTAGAGGGTAAAACGAGTAATATGTACACAGCAACATAGCTTATGTCATCATTACACTTATGCAGGTAATTTGTGATTTAGAGTGTTTAACTTCACCTCTTAATGTGCAGGTACACACAACTAGGGCCAGAGAAGGTCATGCATGTCCCTAATCATTTAAAAAAGCCCCTGATATTATGAATTAGAACTGATATCTGATCTTCTCAATATCAGGATTTGGTTTTATAGTGGATCAGTGACAAATTCTTATGTTTATTTTTCTTATTATTTTTTTAAAATCTGATGTTTGTGCATTTTGTTCGTGATGATGATCTGTAAACCGTTTATGTAAATATGTATATAGAGAGATCAAGCTCTTGGACCTACGTCTCTTAATCTCTATCTCGCTTATCCTCTCTCTCTCTCTC